GGAGCATAACTTATAATACCCTATAATCGTAACAACAGTATCCACGGCTCATTTTCTTTACAATACAACAAAGGTACTCGAGGCATCCAAGGTGCCATCCATTTAATTTCATCCCCGGTAAGCCTTCGCAAGAAAAAGACCCACTCTTCTTTAGTCTTCAATGTTGGCCATTAACTTTTACAAAACTCTTCAATTTGTGCTTTATTTTATAGATACTATTTCGAAAATGCACTCTTCCCACACTTGAAATGACTTCTAACCCATACATATATTAAAGATGCACATCCTATGAATCGTTTTTTCCATTTCGTCGATAGAAATTTAATGACTTGATGGTTTCAGCTAGGACTGCTGGAGTGGGATTAATTGCTTGGGTTTTAATTTTCTCAAAAAAATCTATCACAGTTATCTCAATGTAACCAAAAGTTTTTGAAAAGATTACCATGTCATACAATACTAGAGCAAACACAGCCATACCTTGATTATAATTTAAATGCCCTTGAATGAAGTTTCAAAGAAAATCTCAACAAATGTCGAGATGTTCACCTTTAGGCTTCACAAAGGAATCAATGGTTTTTACTTTAACCCTCATAAGCTTGGCTACTTTTTGCGATAACCTGATTTTGGATTTTGAGTAAATACTTTATCTGGACATGTAGTTCTATCCCGAGCAAAATTGAATACTCATCGATAGTTGACACTAAATCCTCTTGATTAAAAGTGAAGCATCTATAGGATGGATCCTAAAATTGTATAGCTACCTTGACTAGCTGTTCATCGATCACTACTAAAATGAATGATCCAATCTACCCGTACTTTTTACAAAAGCTTTCTTTTCTTTCTTCACTTAACTGACCCCAAATAGCAGCTAACTCTTTTAAATCATTCTGTGTGAGATCTAAATGCACTTTTTTGGGTAATTTAGACACATAACCGGTAGACAAATAATCTTCATTCTTTTATTGAGCTTCTTTTGACCAAATATATACTTTATTATACGGCTCACATGGCACATTGACTGAGGATGAATAAATCTGTAACTTTATGAGATCTATGAAAACTTCTTGGGAGAAATATATCCTAGAGCAAATATCTCGATGCAGAACTGTATGATATGATTAATGCAAAAAAAAAAGTAAAACAAAATTGAGTTAGTGTGAGGATGTGGTTTAAGAAAAAAAATATTTTTTGTTTTTTAGTTTTGAGATTTTTTATTTTATTTTGTTTTGTATTATACACAACTTTTATTCTTAGATTTTTCCTACAAGAAGGTGGACAAGGCTCTACATAAAGCTGGTTTTCTAGGCTTATTATATGCTGGGTTTGGATTGACAGTGTCTAAAGGTTCCCAAATTGTTTCTCACTGTCGTCCATATTGGACTAGTAAGGCACCCCGATCCTCACCCATTATAGGCTACGAACAGAAAGGGTTCAATTTGAGTGGAAGTATTTCGTTTGCCATTGTGGAGGTTATCACCTCACAAGGGCATAAGTACTTTACTTCCTCCTACAAAGGACGGAGCTTGGGTATAGAGCTCATACATGAGATGCATTGTGCCATTGTATGCAAATATATCTTAATTTATTGAGAGTAATAGATATACAAAAAAAATAAAACATAAGAGGAATAGTAAAAAAAATGTGTGTGAATTTTTTTACCTTTTATTTTCGATTTGTTTTGTTTTTTTTTTTTTTTACCTTTTTTATTGAAAATGAAAAATAAAAATCTAAGAAATTGATTAAGACTGTTTAAATCAAAAATTAAGGATAACAAGTAGTTAATTTTGGCTTGACTCTCGAAAATAAAAGGCAGTCCCCAGCGGAGTCGCCAAGCTATCGTAACAGTTTTGTGTCCCACCCGATGAATTTGAAAACAAAAATAAAAGAACGAAAAATGGAGTCGCCACCAATCTTTTTTCGCTATGAACAATTGGCCACCTATTAAAATTTATCATTCTAATAAGATTTTAAAATTAATTAAAATTTATTAAAAAAATAATTTCACGGTCTGCGAAATAGTCTGGGTTAGGGAGTCGGTTAAGCGTGGGAAATGATTAGCACCCCCACGACGCCGGTTTAAAAATGGTACTACTTAACTACATGTTATCCTTTGATTTTGATTAAAAATAGTCTCATTCTCGATGTTTGAAAAAATAATTTTCTTGATTTTTTATTTATTATTATTTTTTTATTGTTCAAATTTTATTCGAGAAAGATAAATTAAAACATTTTTTATTGAAATAATTCTTAAAATGTTTCAGTACGTTGCTAATATCAGAAGAACTTTTTTTCACCTAGAGATTTCTTAGACATCACTTATTGGAATACCTTAGAATCCCATCTTTGGAAGCTCAAATTTACTTTTCGTAAAAAATTATGTCGTGCATGCAATGTAGAATATTGCCATGTTAATGCACACATTTTATTCTTTTTTTGATAATTTTATTATTTTTTATTATTATTCTTATTTAAAAGAAATGAAGAACAGAGAAATTTTTATTGTATTGAAGATTTTTTATAAATATTTCAATACACTGGTAATATTTAAGAAAAAATCTTCTCACCTAGGAATTTCCTAAAGCATCTCTACTCGGAATACTTTTGAAATCTCATAATTAGACAAAATTTCCTTTTTTCTCATTTTTATTACCTATTTTTAATTTATTAGTTAATTTTATTATTATTATTTTATAAGAAAAAAAGAAAATTTTTATTGTATTGAAAATTTTTTATAAATATTTCAATACACTGGTAGTATTTTAAAAAATCTTCTTACCTGGAGATTTCGTAGGTATCTCTACTAGGAGTACCTTTGAATCTCATCGTCAGATAAAAATTTCTTTTTCTCTTATTTTTTAATTATTTTTTATTACTAAATTTATTTTTATTTTATTTTTAAAGTTCATTTTAAAAATTAACAAAATTATAAAAAATATTTCATCATTTAATCTATTAAATACAAATATTTTAATATGCATAAATATTAATAAAATAATATATAAAAAATAAGAATAAATAAATATAAATAAATAAATTTTTTACCTGAACCAGACCTGTCAACGCGGATCCGATCGGCTCGACAGTTTGGATGCAGTTCGACGGTTCGGCTCGATCTGGGTGTGGTTTGGTTGGTTCAGCGATTCGGTACTAGTTCAGATCGGTCTAAGAGGTTTGGTTCGGGTTCAATCAGACCGGTCAGAGGCTGATGGAGATGCGGGTCCCGAGTCGGGTCATAAGTTAACGCGCTGATCCTGGGTGCTTAAAACAGTGTCGTTTTGGGCGTTTATTGAAATGACGTCGTTTTGGCTATTAACAGCTTATATAAAAGCTTAATTTTTTTCGATCATTTCTTCCCCCCTCTAAAAAAAAAACGCCCTCTCTCCCTTTTTTTTTTAGGCGAACCTGGGATCGGTGGCCGTCCGTCGTGATGGTCGCCGCAATCCTCACCGGCAACGAGCTCCAACCACTATCATCGGTATCAAAAAATTCTAAAATTTTTCAAAATATTCCTCTCAACACCCTAAACATAGATCCAGCCTACTTTTCACCAAAAAGAGTCCCAAATTCCTCAGATCTGATCTTGAAGTTTCGATTAAACCCCTTATTTTTTTTCTTTTTTTTTTTCTTGAAACTAACTTTTTTTTTGTGCAAGAAGCTTATCGACGCTAGATTCTTCCCTACGAGAGGACTATGTTGAATTTTTTTTTTTTGGTAAAAAGCTCTCTTCTTTTTAGGTAAAAAGCTCTATTCTTTTTTTTGCAACTTCCTCTTTTTTATTATGTTTGCCTCGTTCCTGTCGTTAAGAGTTTGATTATGAACTCTATTTATAGAGTTCCGACCGTACATGTGCTTGAGGGAAAAGCATAGAACTAGGCATGGGGATGCAAGTACAAGCCCCATGCCTCTTTTATTTTTTTTTTACAACATCCGATAATGGTAAGTAAGGTGAGGGATAGGTAATAAGATATGATGCCAACGGTGATCAAAGTATGTTAATCAATAAATAAGTTTTTTTTTTCTTGACCAGGAATTAATAATCAACAACATACGGAAAGGATTAATTAAAAACAGTATATTTAAATTTTTTTTCTTTTCTTTCGAAGAAATCTGGTTGATGTTGAAAGAAACCTAACATTGATTTAGTCTTAAAAGCACGTTTTTAACAAGTCTGATTGCTACTGGAAAGATGTCATCAATTTTTTTTTAATTTTTTTTTTAGCGGTAAGGGATTCTTGAGCTTCGTCTATTACATCTCTTATTCGGGTCAATCAAAGTAAAGTTATTTATGTCGAATTTAACGAATTTATTATAAATTATTTTGGTCAGATGTTGTCAATAATTTTGCTAAAGAGAAGTGGACCTGGGCTGCTTCAGCTCTGCTAAGTCCTGCATTGACATCAACTAGAATTGACCAATGGCCACATTTCATCACTGGCCCTGAACCCAAATCCAAAGTGAAAGGGCCTTTCCATATAATATCTAAGGTCCTTATTTTTGGGTGTTTTTTTTTTTTTTTTGTGCTCAATAAAGTATGTATCTTCTTAGTATTAGATTTTCAATGTTTCAAGTTCGAAAGAAACAATTCAAGCATTTACTTCCAATTAAAAAGTAACAAAACAAAGAAGATAAACAAGGCCACAGAACTAGTTTCTTGGCAGTTGGCAGGAACACATATTCACCACACAAAATCATTGTTCTTGTGAAGCAGAAAACATCGTGGTAACCAGATTATTTGAACAACAAACACTTCTCTTCATTGTTCAAAACTTAAAATCCTAGAACACAAAGTATATCAATTTCTGATAATAACTTAAACTTTTGGACATATAAAAAAGTTTATATTACAGCCAATGTTTTTTAGGTTTATGTTGCAAACTTAATAATTTAAAATATGACAAATAATGTAATATGAAAAACAAATCAAAAAATAATATAATTTAAAATTTTAACAAAAATAAAATAGGTCTTTTGAGTTTTTTATATTTATATGAACCATAACACATAATTTTTATATAAAATTTGACATAAAAATACAAACTATTAATATTTTTACATAATATAAATATACGAATTATCATGTCTAGTCCTATGTTTTATGTCTCTCCACACATGAAAAACCTTAGACCTAAGCATATATCAGATTAGACTCAAAAGAACTAGATATTGCTTCAACCTTTGCCTCATTGAAACCTGTCAATTCTTTGGTAGCCAAGTTCCTGAGCCCGTCCACCAAAACTTTCAAATCTTTGTCATTGCTTCCAATTCTGTTCATCAATCCTTGTATTTTTCCTATGTATAGACCATACCTTCTCATTTTTTCTATTTCCTCTTCATTTCCACGTCCTAATATTGCCCCACAGGCAGCTGCGCAGGCATGCAATGCTCCTTCATATTTCTCAGAGAGACGTTCGATCTCACCAATGTGAGATGACCCTTTATTGTCCGATTGACAAAGTTCTACTTCATAGTACTGTCCATAAATCATTCCTTGAGAACCTATGGCACGTGTGATCTCAACCATCACACGTAGAATCCGGTTCGAGTTATTTTGCGTTGGATCATTTGATTTGGCCAATAGTTCGAGACCAGATGGTACCAGTGCATCCCCTATCAGTAACTCCATGTTTGGGCCATAGGCATGTTGAATCGTGGACTTGGGCCTACAGCTTTCTGTCAATGGAAGATGCCGGTGAGTGAAAGAAGCTGCATGCATGAGGTGAAGTGCGGATGCCGCCGGCAAAGCTTGATCCCGGTGGCCACCAACCAGCTCACAGGCAGCCACACATAACGCCGGTGCAGTGCTTCGAGGGGCGGAGAATGTCAAATGGTGCATGGGCTCAAAAACAGGGAGAGGTTCTCTTACCGTGATAGCCTGCTTGAGATGAGCTTCAATGTCTGCGTTAATGGAGGTCCAATAAGACTGGTTGCATGACATGGTAACTTTCAGAGGCCTATAAGGCAATACCAAAGGACATGGACGACTGGGATTTGGTCTGCAACGAACATGGAACATTGGGTTGCCATTGACAATTGACAGAGCTCTTGCCATGGATGAGAAATTGAGCAGAAGCTTCAAGCTTTAAAAGAGAAAGACAGGGAAAGAAAGGTGAAGAAATGAGCTTTTTGCCTTTTGCCTTTTGCCTTTTGCCTTTTGCTCTAATGGGTACATTTGTGGAGGAGAAAAGTTGAAGTACATTTATAAGCTTTGAGATGTCAGTATTTACCAAGTTAGATTTTTATGATGGAGTTATTATTAGATTACGAGGTTCACATGGTTTGTGAGGCGGCCACACTTGGGAAACACGTTTAACATTATAACCTTCAAATTTTATTTATTTATTTAATTATTTTTTCTCCAGAGAAAAAAAATTAAAAAAAAAATTTTTTTGGGTGGTGTTAGGTCAACATGGATTGTACAATTGTGCCAAATTTTAGGTTGTTAATAAAATTACGTTAGTTTATTACAATCTTTCAATTAAAAAAATGAAATTTACTAGTTTAATAAATAATTTTGATAATTTTACGATAAGATGATGAGATATGAAAAAAATAAAAATAATAAATTTAAAATTTTGATAAAACTTTAAACATCAAATATAATTTTTTTTAATATATCAACATAAATTATAATATATTAATTTTTATATTTTACATATATTTAAAATAAAATAGATAAACACAAATTATTCAAGTTAATCAATAAATAAGGTTTTTTTTTCTTGACCAGGAATTAATAATCAATAACATATGGAAAGGATTAATTAAAAACATTATATTATCCAGAACCTTCAAATTGTAAAATGTTTTCCACCTTTTTTTTTTTTTTATTTCTTTAACATCTTAGTCAAAAGCTGCCACTCATTCTAATTCCACCAAAAATTTTCTATCCTAAGAAATTGTTAATGAAGAAATTATCAAGTTTTTTAATTTTATAAACGAAATTCAGACGGTGATATATATTTTTTAATATATATTAAAAAATAAAAAATTTAATTAAAAAAATACAACATGTGTTATCATTTTATTAATCGGTTTATGAAATTAAAGGTGATGATATAAACTGAATTTGAATCTTGACTTGTACATGTTCAACAGTATTTCAAAACTTTGAAATTAGGTTGATGCCAATTGTACGACCAGGAACTAATTTCCACTAAAATTATGTCACTCAATATCCACCAACCACTTTTAGCCAAAATAGTAATCACAAAAAAACAAAATCTTTAGAAAAAAATTTTAAAAAGTTGAAATTTTTATAAATTAAATTTAATAATTTAATAATTTATATTATATTTATTTCATGTTAATATTAATTGAAATTATATATTAAATACAAAATATTTTTTATTTTTATTAAATTTATATATAATTTTTATTAAATTTTAAATTATATTATTATATTAATTGGACTGTAAAGTCCTCGTGGATCTTTCCTGGCATAGACTACGGTCAGCCACGAGAGTTGATTATGTGTTGGAGCGTCAAAAGTTGATTATTAGATTTGATAGTGGGATGTGACAGAGATCCAACATAATACCAATCAAATTAATAATTTGTATATTTATATAATATTTTATGTAAAAATTATATATTATAATTTATATTTATATAAAAATATAAAATATAAAATATATATTTAAATTTTTATTAAATGTATATTTAATTTTTATTAAAACTTTAAAATATATTATATTTATATTTTTTTATATAATTTTATATCATATTATTATATAGCATTTTAAATTATTAAATTTAATTATAATGAAATAATTGTATCTGACATAAGCATATATTGAGTCTCACATTAAATGTGTATTAAAATGATTTTAGGGTTAAATAGGAGGATGATGACCTCCATTGAGAGATAATTCTTTTGAAGACCCACATTGTGTGGGGCACTATGGTATCAAATTCCACATATGGTGACGTGGGTCTTCACTTGATGGCGTTAAAGGTTGGTCAAAAAAATGTATGTTGAATTTTATTTTGTTGTAGTTGAAAAAAATTTAGATTAAAAATATGATAAAAATATTATGTTTTAAAAATATTAAGTGTTTGTCATTATTGTAAAAATTTATTGTGATTAATAGAAATGTGCAAAATAAAAATCATAAATGTTTTATTTTCAAAACGAAAAATAATTATTTTGTATAAATTAAAAGAAATTTTTTGGGGGAGAAGATTTTTTTTTTTTTTGGAAGTTGGTGAAGATTTAATTTATGATTTACAATACAACCAAAGCTTTAATAGAAAATTTGTTCAAGGAGCTAATCTTTTCATAGATTGGCCCTCCTCAAGGCCCAAGGGCCAATTCTTCAAAGGTTTTTCATGAAAAAAGCCCAATTTGATTTTCCATCCCTCCATTTTTTTTTTTTTTTTTGTTGTTTTGGGGCAATGAAAGATCTACAAAATAATAAAAAAAAATTGGTAAATTTCCCATAAGGTCAAACTTAAGTAGCTATAATTTTATATTTTAAAAAAATTAAGAAGATGCCAATAAGTTATGCATAAATTTAATTATTTATTCTTTTATAAATGCAATTAAAAATATCTAAAAACCCACCAAGATTTTTATTAACCAATTAATTATCCATTTCTAAGACATAATATAAAATTTTTAGGATATATATTAATTTTCATCTTTTAATAGTGGAAAAAATAAAAATTTCATTTTATTTGAAGCAAAGTCAATGGGCCATAAGTAGTGTACAAAAGTGAACATGTGACATCAACATGGGAACAAGTGGGTAACAACATGTGCATCATGTGAAACAAGTAGGCCATGACCCCATGGCCCTAATAATCTTTATATATTCAATATGGGGGTGGTTGTGTATATATAGCTTCACTAGTACTAATCTAGCCTTCTATTAAATGTTGAAATTGGGTTAACTACTGCTTAATTATGCTTATATATTATGACTTTAATGTTGGTTAGTCATTATTTTTTCAATTTTCAGATATAAAGGAGGCCATAATTTAAGAATAAAAAAAAAATTATAGATATTAAAATTTTAATCTCAACATGTTATAAAATGTCACCTTTTAATTATAATTTAATTAGCAACTAGCACATCTCAATCATTTCAATTTTATCTGCTTAATAGAAAACCAATATTAAAAAAAATATTAGCTAAAATAATAAGAAAACCTCTAAACTTTATCATTTTATTTATTTTGGCTTATATATTTTTATTTCATTCAAATAAACTCTTAATCTTCATTTTGCATCAAAATAAGCTCTTAAACTTTAAGTTGTATTAAAATAAACTCTTATCTTTTAATTTATACCTTAATAAGCCCTTAACATAAATTAATTTTTTATTTGAAATAAGAGTATACTTAATACAAATTAACAAATAAGGGTTTATTTAGATATAATAAAAATATAAAAAATTATTTAAATAAAACGATAAAATTAAAGAACTCTTTTAATATTTTAATAAAAAATGTTTGAAATGTTCGTAAGGATAGTTCATGACTAATAATTAGTTATGTTCTTTTTGATAAAATGAAATATTATTAGATTACTATTAGCTACTTTTTAAAAAAAAAATTTCAACTTGTTTTACTAGAAGTCTTAATAAGTTAGAGGATTTTAATAGGGTCAATGAAGTTTGGTTTGGTATTATAATTTCAAGTTATATCTTCAAATTAAAATCTATCGTGGAAGCCATAATTGAGAAGTTCATAGGCATTAGTGCTCAATATTCCACTTGTGTTTGAATATTAAAGGCAATTGCTCCATCAAGCCAGCATTGATATTCCAATAACCTCATGTGATTCACACCCACATTCGTGAGGCCAAAGGGTTTCAATGTTTTATGTTTGCTCATGTTTGGGGCCACTTAGATGATGGAATGAATGATGATTAATCACATGAACTTGCTTTAACCACTCCTAAGAGATCCTTATTTATTAGAAGAATAATAATGATAAAAAAAATTCTTCTCAATTAATCTCCCAAATTTGCAAAAAAGAAAAAGTGACCTAGGGCTGAACTTAACACACCTTTAGTTGTGACCTACTTAATGGGGTTCGAGTCAAATAAAGAATAGAGTAGTTTTGCTTTAAAGGAACAAAATTAACAAACCTAACATGCAAATATATAGTTAGTGTTACTGTATAAAACAATATAAGTCATGAAATTCTTTATTAAAACTAATTAAATAAAAATTAAAATTGAAAATCAAAATCGATAGATTAAAAGCTTCTATTACATAAATCAAGTATGTAAACTTTTAAAAAATTTTAATAAATTTTGATATTTTTTTAGATAGACAATTTTAATAAAAATTTTAATAAAATTTTTGCTGTTAAATAAGTATTGATTAAATTTAATTATAAATGATATTTTTAATACTATTTGTTTACATATTATTAATTTTCTTGTTGAATTCTATCAATTTATCGGTTTGAATTTTTTATTAAAATTTTTATTAGATTATTTTTAATAAAGAATTTCACAAATTTCATTTGAAAAGCTTCATATAAGTTATTTTCTATAAATCATGTAGTCACTTTTAAAAAATAATATTCAATAAATTTAGATTCAAATGTATACATTTATAACTTTTTTTTCTTTTTTCAGATCAAGATATTTTTGTAAAAAAAAACAATAAAAGAATATATCTTAATGAAGAGGAGATTTAATGTGTGTACATATATATATATATATATATGATCAAATTATCAAAATTTAATATTTTCATAAGTCAAATTTATTTATGGTTGATTTGATGATCATTATCAAACAAGACACATAATGGTAGGTCCAAATTCCCTTTCCAAGCTGATATTATGACATTTTATCTGTCTTCAAACCATATATATAAAATAGACAATATAAAGAGGCTTCTTGCCAAAGTCAAAACTAGATGTCTTGATGTTACATTTTACTCTCTCCTTTTTTAACTTGGTTAAGGAATAGAAGAAGAAAAGCCCTGCAAATCAAGTAACAAAACAAAAAGGATAGGGTAATTTTGTAATTGAGAGTCTAGCTTACAATCATTGCATTGATAATGAGATTTGAAAGTACAACTAATCTTTGAATTCTTTGTGTCATTCAAGAGAAATGCTATATAAATGTGCAAATTATATATATAATTTTAATTCAAATCTTACTCTCATTTATTCATATCGTTATTCTCAAAAATATAATATTTAGTAGATTCATGATTCAAGTTTAATACTTATAATTTTTTTAAATTTTTATATTATAATTTTTTTTAAAAAAATTATTTTTCCATTAATTGGAAATCAACTTTCAATCAAACAAATCATGAATCTCCCATTGTAATTTTAGTGAGTTATTTGTTGTAAATTTTTTTTTGTAATAACAAGAAAACAAAAAAATGGAAGTATCCATCAACCATGGAATTTAACTTGGAGTACTTGGACTTAATATGCACATGTATAGATCCAAATATTTGTATTGAAAATGGGTACTAGCTATGTATTTTCCTTTATTTACAAGTTTGTATAGGCTTGATTTTGATATGAATCTCTTAATAAAAAGATGTTAATCTTATTAAACTCGATGAAAATTTTAATTATTTATTTAACGAAAATATGAATAGATATTAAATATTGAGAAGAGAGATGGATATGATTTTAAATTTTTTAAGAGATAAATAATATAATATTCGTTTTGTACTCTATATATATTGAATAAAATAATTTTTATTTAATAATATAAAATTTATTTTAAATTTATTAAAACTAATATATTTGTATTTAAAAAATTCATATTTATAAAAATTTACTAAAATATGCAATATAAAAATAAAAAATTTATTTTTACTTTTATTTTTTAAAAAACTATGATTATAAAAATTATTCATATCAATTAAATATTTATAAAAATAAAAATAAATTTAAATTTAAATATCTATTAAATATAAATACAAAAACAATATAATATAAAAAACTAAAATAAAATAAAATATTTTATCCATCCATACTTGACATGTTAACCTCCTTATCTGAATCTCTACTCTACCCCTAAACTTTAATTTGAAGCTCAGCTAGCGTCCTAAATCTTGAAAACCCATGACAATCCATTATTCGGACTCGTGCTCTTTGCACGTGTCCCATGTGTCCAAGCATCCTTGAATGAATGTTTGGAAGTGTTGGTATTTTAGGACAGTTGGAATTATGGATTTCTGCTTTGTGGGACAAAAGCAAAATCCAAGAAGAAAAGCTAAGCTAAGCTAAGCTTATAGCTTTGGATTATTAAGCTTATTTGAAACAATGTTGAAGTTATTCCTTATCGGAGTATTTCGGTCATGAAATTGTAAATTTTGAAAAAAATATGATTTTTGAAAAAAATATACTATTTAAAGTTTTTTTATTTTAAAAATATTTTATATTTAAATTCATTCATTTTATTAAAAAAATTTATGTATGTTAATTTTTGAATAATCATTATAATTTTTTTGACATATATGATGATAATTTTTTATTAATTTTTATTAATAATAAATACTTAAATGATAAATGATGTTTTTTAGCAAAAAAAAAATTATTTATAAAATATTATCAATAAAGAAATTTTTTAAATAATTCCTTTTAATTTTCTAATAAAAACGCTTTATATAATTTTCAATATTTTAAAAAAATAAAAAAATTTATTGAAGATATTTTTAGAGTAAAAACACTTTAAATGATATCCTTTAAAAACATTTGTGGTATTATTTAAGGCACTGTTTATCTAAAAACCCCTTAAATAGCCTCTTTAAAAAAAATGAAAGATTATTTAAGATATTTTTGGACAAAAAATATCTTAAATAATCACTGTTAAAAAATATGAGGGAATTATTTAAAATATTTTTGATAAAAAAAAGCTTTAAATAATGCCTTTAAAATTTTTTTTAATATTATTTAAGGTATTTTTTTTTATCAAAAAAGGTCTTAAATAATCTATTTATAAAAATATAAAATAATTATTTAAGGTATTTTTTGTATAAAAACTTCTTAAATAATCTTTTTATAAAATTATTAACCCTAAACCTTAAAATATAAAAAGATTATTTAAGATATTTTTTGTACAAAAAATACCTTAATATAAAAAAATTATTTAAGGTATTTTTTGTATAAAAATGCTTTAAATAATCTATTTGTAAAAATATAAAAAAATTATTCAATGTGTTTTCTATATAGAAATGTCTTAAATAATCATTTTATAAAAATATTAACACAAAATCCTAAAATATAAAAAGATTATTTAAGGTATTTTTTATGTCAAACACCTTAATTACAATATAAATTATTTTATTCTATACAAAAACCTACAACTGTGTTCAATTACTTCCAGACATGTTTTTTAAAAGAGTAACGACTATTTTATAATTTTTTATTTATGTCAAATTTGAAAATAAAGTAACTTTTCTCCTGAAAATCTAAAATATCACAAGAAAATGTGTGTTTCTAATTTTGAGACATTAAGTATAGTTGAGAATCTGTCATTTTCTTTCATAATCAAATTATTCTGAATCAAATGTGAGAATCAACTACCTACCATCAAGATTCTGAGAAAAAATTTGTGAATTCTCCCTAATCAAATGACACCTGAAAGTCACGTCAATAGCAGCTTTGATTTTCATCATAATTAATATTTGATAATTCAATTAATCACATTATCATTTATAAAATATAAAAAATCAAATCAAATTAAGCACGTAAAGTATTTATAACCAAAACTTTTCTATTTTTTTTAGTTTCTAATATAAGGGATAACAGTCTGAATTCAATTGGATTTAGTTTGATTTGGATCAGATTCAATTTGATTTTTTTAATAACGTATAATATAATAAAATTTTAAAATTTGATCTAAATTTGAATTATCTTTTTTTTGAAATCGATCCGATATGAATTGAATTTTATCAATTTAGTTCGGTTCGATTTATCGATTTTTAAAATTTAAAATTTAAATATTTAAAATATTATTTTAATAAAAATTTTAATATATTTATATATAAAATAATTATTTTTATTTTATAAAAAATTAAAAAATATATAATTTAATTTGATTTGATTTTTAAAATTTTTCACATCCTAATTTAAAATTTTATTTAAACTTAATATATATTTAATATTTTTATTTAATTCAAATTAAATAAAAAAATATGAAAAAAAACCGAATATTATAATTTCGAATTAATTTTTAATTTTTTTTATAGTCCTTACTTTTTTACTCTCTCTCTCTTATCCTTTTTAATAACATAATAGTTTGAATGTCGAAACATATTACGAAATACTATTTTCTACATCTGATATTTCTCATGACAAGTCATAATTAACATCATTTTCAACGAACTTCTCTTCTACCCAAGCAGAAATTACATCAAAAGTCAGGATTTTTGACATCCCAAATAATCTCCTCTTAAAGTACTTTCTTAGGACATATGATTTGTTACTCTATTTCTACAATTGTTCTTTTGCTTCCTAGGATTCTTGTCTCTGGCAAATGAGAAAACAAACATCATACATGCAGTTGTGTTTGAAACTATATCTGTCACCACAGTTCTGAGTTATACAATTGGTAAACTAAAAACTACAGAAAAAATTTTGTAACTTTGAAGTTAATAGTAAAATCGAGACATTAATAGCCTTATCATTGGTTTTAATTTTGTTTGTTAATAAAAAAACTTACCGATTCGTATAACTCAATTCAAACATTAAACCCAATCTGTTCCTTGTCTTGAAAATAGAAAAAATCTCACCTAATTTTCCTCATTGAAACATGCAAGTTTTGCTCTCATTTTTATTTTACAGTTAAACATTACATAAAAAATTTTAGATAAAACACGAAGATGGTATCAAAAACTAAAATAATTTAAAAATTATAAAAAATATATAAACTTGATAAAAAATAAAAAAAAATTATTTTGTATTTAATATGCTACATAAATTGTAATACATTAATTTTTGTATTTTACATGACGGCAGCTAGTTGTTAAAATGTCAGTAAACGTAACTAGGACACAGACAGTTTAATATCCAACCTTGTTTAGACCAAAGCAATCAAAATAAAAATGAAAAAAATGAAGAGTGTCGGCTACATAATTCGAATATATTAATTATATCTTTGTCCATATATATTTAAGTTCAAAAACTCAAACAAGTGAAGTTGGTGGGTCATCTTCAAAAACTTTCCAAAACAGCATCAGTTTTGAGTTTTCTCTTCTCTGCAATTTTGCAGCTCAAGAATTTTCAAAACCCAATTTAAAGATACAAATTTTAAGTGTTGAAATACACTTTACTGTATAAAAGATTGTTGTTTTTATTTGTTTTTCAGTGTTTTTGGAGTTGGGATTTTTGGATCTAAAATTTTTGTCATTTTGACTTTGTTGAAATGAGATGAGAAATCGGTTTTGCTTTGATTTAGATTTTAATTAGTTTTGGAGGAAGAAAAAAAAGGGAGATTTTGTGAAAAATGAGTTGGAAGAGTAAAGGATTGGAGCCTAATTCAAAGTCCGCGGTCACAAAAAAATGGACTCTTTTGCTTTGCATTGGCTGTTTCTGTGCTGGGATGCTCTTTTCTGATGGGTAAATTTGTCTCATCTTTTAGCTTCTTTAATTTCATGACTTGATTTGGTTCTAGCTTGTATTTGCAGTTAGGTGAATTAGGTGCTTGTAAAGTTATCAGCTTTATGGATTTTGTTTCTGATTTTCATAAATTGCTTTTGCTTTTACTTTATTAGATGCTTTTGGGGGATTATGGTTTTGGCTATATATGTAATTTAATGAATGCGGTAGCTCTTTTCCTTCAATTAGTTCCATGGACCATGGTTCATATATGTTTGTGGGGTTTATTGCTTGTTTCTGGATATTATATGAGTGGCAATGATTATGAAAACTTTTGATAAATAATCATTATTTTTTTTATGAAATTAATTAGACCACTTTGTTTGATGGTGTAATGCAAAGATCTGCAGTTCATAGAGTACTACGGAGGTTTTACTGCCCTTTTCTGTTTTTGCAATGGTGGGTTTAAAATTTACTTTGTTTACTATGGCTATCATTAAGATTGAATTAAGCCATTCAAATTTTAGGTAAGGGCTGATTAAAGTATGAAATCTATTGTGTCCTTTGTATCCTGGTGTTCGTCCTCGTTGGCCTGCCCCGATAATGGTTTTTATTGTCAGTTGTGCTATAGATTTCTTGTACCAGCTCTCCTCTCCTCCTTTTCTCTGCTGTAAGAGCCTGTCTAACTGGAAGTTAGTGATGGAACTCAACATTTTGACCAGTTTCATGCTTTATCACAAGAATCCAGAAAATGTGCAGAAGCACTAAATATTCATTTGACATGGCATTTTAGTGTTCAACCACTTTATTTGTTGTTTTTTTTTTTTTTTTAAATCTAAAATGTGTTATCAGAGGCTTCTGTTGTGATTGTTAGAGTGAATTTCTTCAAGAATTATGGGCTACTCTTACTCCCAGATTGAGAATCACCTCTATATTTTCTGTTGTAGTTCTATTTTACCAATGTGAATGCCAAACTAATTAGATCTTTTGGCATTAGAATGTGGACAGTGCCTGAGGCTGAGGATAGAGCTGTATCACGGGAAACGGGGGTTAACGATGGAAGGCTAAAGTTAATTTCAGAGGGTTGTGATCCAATAAGTGTGAGTATTATTTAAATAGTTGAAACTATTGTTGCCTTTTGCTGGGTTCTTGTTAGCTCATTTGATGTCTTCTGTTAACAGAAGGATGTGAAGCGTGAATCTAAGGATATAATAGGGGAAGTTTCAAAGACTCATCATGCCATTCAGTAAGTTTATATTTCTGGTTTTTTTTTTCTTTGTTAGATTTTGTTAAATTTAGAGAAGGCTTATTTTTTTACTGAATATATAATGCAGAACACTAGATAAAACAATATCAAATTTGGAGATGGAGTTAGCTGCTGCAAGGGCCATGCAAGAATCTATAATTAATGGTTCTCCCATTTCAGATGACCTGAAATTCCCTGAATCGAGAGGGAAACGAAAATATTTAATGGTTGTAGGCATCAATACCGCTTTTAGCAGCAGAAAACGAAGAGATTCAGTTCGCGCTAGTTGGATGCCTCAAGGTTTGTAGATTGATCTCTTTCCTTCCATATAATAGTGAATTTGATGTATCATGTAATATATTTCTAAAATAATTTTCTTGAGATGATTATTGCTGTTCCTTCATCTGTATGAAACCCAGGGGAAGAAAGAAAGAAGCTTGAAGAAGAGAAGGGAATCATAATGCGATTTGTAATTGGTCACAGGTGGGTACATTATTGAGTTCAAAGCTAGTTTAGATGGAAGTTCACATTTCTTTATCCTGCCAATATGAAGAAACTTGTATCCTCTGGTCTTTGCTTCAACAAATTGTTGAGGTGGAGGCAACTTTATAAATCCTTTTGTTTTATGGGCTTAGAATTCACCGGATATATCTTTCATTGCCTATAATCTTATTGCTTTATATATGGTTTTCTCATTGTTTGAAGTCAAAACTATTTTGATGAAGTGGAATCCTTCTAAACTTTTTATCCACTCAATTGACAGTGCTACCTCAGGGGGTATCCTTGATAAAGCTATTCAAGCAGAAGACAGAAGGCATGGTGACATTCTGAGGCTGGTACTGCCTTCAATCTTGCTCATTGTCAGCTTTATGCGAATATCTTCTGCAACATTATTGCTCTGCTTTGATATATAGAAGCTAGAGCATACTTATAAAACTTTTCTATAACATTTTTATTTTGCTTTGATATCTAAAAAACATCTTACATGCTGCTTTATTTTGTAAAAATTTCATTTGAGCAGGAGCATGTTGAGGGTTACCTTGAATTATCAGCCAAGACAAAGGCATACTTTGCCACTGCTGTTGCTTTGTGGGATGCCGATTACTATGTCAAAGTTGATGATGATGTGCATGTAAATATAGGTAAAGATGCAACATTCTCTTGTCTGGTTTTTCATTCCAGGAAAACAGTCTTTCAGAGCAGTGAATAAGCCCAATATTCTTTAATATATTTGTCGTTCTCATGAAGCAACCAAAGTGTATGTTGCAATTAGTATCATATATATATATATATTTGTTTTACTCTGAGGATTTGTAGATTACAATGTCAAATGATTCTTGTTGTCTCTTTTCTTCTTATGATTTTCTTACATTTGGTCTATCTATGTGCTTTTGCAGCAACACTTGGAGCAACTTTGGCTAGACATAGATCCAAGCCCAGGGTTTATATTGGTTGCATGAAATCTGGTCCAGTTCTTGCTCAAAAGTAAGCCAAGCATGTCCAATGTTTTCATTTTAGTTAAAAGTTAGGAGTTATGACCTTTATATCCATTTTCTCACTTTTTTCCCTTATGTGGACAGGGGAGTAAGATACCATGAACCTGAATATTGGAAATTCGGTGACGAGGGAAACAAGTATTTCCGCCATGCCACAGGGCAGCTATATGCCATTTCTAAAGATTTGGCTTCCTACATATCGATTAACCAGTAAGCTCCCTGTCTTCTGAAGGAGAATGTTATATCTTTGTGTTTGAAGTTCATTTGTCTGTACTTCTTCCTCATGAAATGATAATTTTCCAGGCATGTGCTGCATAAGTATGCCAATGAAGATGTTTCATTGGGATCATGGTTCATTGGGTTGGACGTTGAGCATATAGATGACCGCAGACTGTGCTGTGGTACTGCAGGTAATGTCATAAACTAATGCAAATGCCTTGTTATTTTCTTAGTATCTGGAAACAGGCATTCGGTTGGAGCCTCTTCCTACCATGGGGATGATAAATATAGATTTTAATCATCAGATCCCAGCATGAATCATCTGATTAAGAAACTTGTCATCAATAACTGGTTCTTACTAGTCATATGCTTTAAGTTATGACCACCTGAGCCGTTCAATCTAGCTTAATCTTTTCAATCATTCACAATCTCTTGAAACAGCCACCTGGGCTTGGCCAACAGTGGTTGATCTGGAATTTTTTGTTCAGGGTGTCCACTTAAAATATATATATATATATATATATTTATAAAACTGCCAATGCCAATGGATTTACTAATTTCATCGATGGAAAGAGTTTCCAGGGAAAAATTTTGGGGGTGTTCAGGAAAAAATTTCCCCACCATCAAGAATGGATCCACCGCTGTTGGCCAAGGTGGTTTGTGGTAGGGGTTTTGGGTGGAGCATTGGAGATCCTAGGCTCGAGTTATACTTCTGTCGCATTGTGTATTTGTGTGTGTTTAAAGAAGAGAAAAAGGAAAAATCTCCAGCATGAACATGAAAGCAAGGGTAGGAGGCTCTGTGATACCAATTATTTGGTAACAGTATGCATCCCCCTGAGGGCTCTGTGTGTGTGTGCGACTGTCTTTCTGCACTCTAAAGTAAAGTATAGCAGAATGAAGAATAAAGTACAATTTAGTTGTAGGAGTATATTTTATAAAGCCAGGATGTGGAACAAAAGATTGAAGCTAATAACATTGCTGTAGATTGCGAGTGGAAGGCTCAAGCAGGCAACATCTGTGTTGCTTCATTTGACTGGACCTGCAGCGGGATTTGCAAGTCAGTTGAGAGGATGAAAGAGGTTCACTGGCGGTGTGGAGAAGGCAAGAATGCTTTATGGAATGCAGCTTTCTGAGAAAGTCCAGTTCCTCCAAACTCGGGGAAACAAGTAAATGGATTGAGCTTCTATTTGGCCTTTTAGTAATCAGAAATGTCTCAGCAGCTGTCAAAATGTAAAATGTAGAAACAGGGTTGGGGTTGGGGAAAGAGGAGTTCAGGCTGCTGGGTTGTCTGCTCCATTTTATATATGGAGAAAGGCCCGTTAGCAGTGAACCGGAACTTAGCTCAGTTGGTTCATCCAATTGTCTTTAAGAAGTTGCACATAACAAGTCTAGAGTTCAGATTCCAACACCTATAACTACATTCCTTATTTCTCGGTTGGGGCTTCCTATATACAAAAAAAAAAAAAAATAGCAGTTATAAGAGAGGAAATAGTTTGTAATTAACCATTCTTTATTTGCTTCTGGGGGGTGTTTTGTAAGTGTGAATGGCAATTCCAAATAAGCGCCAATATTTAGGCTAGCATTTACTGCCATCTGATTTACGAGTTAGTGGCTTTTTCATTCCACTTTTGACTGGTGTTCCCTCTTTCCATTATTGTGGGTGAAAATGGTGATGAATATTTCTCTTTTGATGATTTCTTTTCTTCATGTTAAAGCATCACCATCACTCACACTTGAAGCTTAGCTTAATTGGAAGCTTAGCTTAATTGGTTCATACGTTCATTTTTAAAACGTGAAATTTAGTAAGTATGGGATTTAAATTTCAACTCTATAGTTTTTTTCTTTGTTATCATATTGTGATTTTTTTTTGTTAAAAAAACAAAAAAACGATCATAGCCCTGGTGGAGATTGCATGACTTCCCTGCCCAGTCATGCAAATCATCCGAAAACTTGCAGAATTTCAGTCTCTTTAACGCTTAAATTGATAAAAAAAAAAAAAAACCTAAATATCACTAGACAACTGTAGAAATATATATTATGCATAAGATGGGCGGATTTAGATTTTCGGAAGCATAAGGTGGGACAGACACAAACAAAGGTCACTTTCTTGCTAGATTTCCCACTCCAAGTGATTGAACTCTTTACAAAATGGCTTGATTGGCGCTTGAATGACCAAAAACAGTTCTAATTTGATTCAAGAGGTCCTGGATACACTTGAATACACCACATGATTCCTTCACTGAAATCATTCAGATACACTTGAATACCCCACTGCTTCTCACTCCTCCCATTCAGATATCATCAAACATCACGCTTCAGATATCATCAAACATCACGCTTCGGCTTTTTTTAGATAGTAAGTGATGTCTGTGATAACATGATTAGATGAATCAATTGAATTAAATTTCGGATTCACATTTAGGCTCTTTCAAGAACTTGGTTTTCATAAAATGGGGTCTATAACTCTGTATGTATCTCCATTTTACACTTTTCGGTTCGATGGCAATCCAATTCTTTCTCAGTTTAAGTGTGTTTTTTGCTTTTCCTGCAATGATGAATAGTAAAATTGCAGATAGCCCAAATAACCAAAACCCAGTTCTTAAGTCTGTTTTTGTTATACCATCCCTGGTTGCTTTGATCATTCAACAGATTGTATAATATGTTGCAGCTTGATATATGAAATGGAAGTATTCAAAATTGTTGGTGCCAAACTCAAACTGTAGGACAAGAACTTGAAATCACAAGGAAAGAGGTCAGTTAGAAGTAAAAGCCGAAGTTGTTTTCTTCGTTTGTATTCAGACACTCAAAGCGGCGAAGAATTTAGAGATATAAATTAGAGATTTAAGGGTGAAAATTGACCAACGAATGAGGAGATATTTACATTTGAAGGATTGGTGATTTGTTAGGCTGACACTAAAGTATGTTCAGGTCGATTTATTACATCAATTGGAATCAAATAATCAAAATAGTCCTGATTTAATTGTAAGTCATACTCTTTTAAAAGAAAATTATATTCTTATGACCAAAAAAAAAAAAAACCACTAACAAAAATGAAATTCAAATCCATAATATTCAAGTGTGAGCACTAACTATATAATTCTTGCTCTACCACCCCAACTTTGACCTTATTGTTTATCCAAGACCCAGGGGTTAGTCGATCGGCCATGGAAGTTCTGTGGTTAATATATTTGTATTAAATTGAAAATTTTGAAAAACTATAGAATTCTTGCTCTACCACCCTAACTTTGACCTTATTGTTTATCCAAGACCCAGGGGTTAGTCGATCGGCCATGGAAGTTCTGTGGTTAATATATTTGTATTAAATTGAAAATTTTGAAATAATATGTTGAAATAACTGGTATCGATATATATAATATATTTTTTTAAAAATCGAAATATTATCTGGTACGATATTAACAACTTGCATGGAACCACAAAAATTTTTAAAGTTTATTAATTATCGAGTGTGTTTCAAGAATAAAATTTCTAATACATGAAATTTTAATAAAAAATGTGTTCCTATTACGAGGATTAACCCTATCTTGATATATATACACGTCATAAATACTAAAGAAAAATATTAATGCCGGTTTAAGATGGATTAGAAAGTTAATATGATAGCTTGCCCGATCAAGAAAGTTAACAATTATTTATAAATTTGGACTAATTAACTTGACCTAATTAATATAAACTATTACTTACAAAAATTTGATCATATCTTAGTATAAGTTATATGCCATTGTAAAAAGTTTTGAAAAATGTTAGCAACACGAATCACTTAATAATTTATATGTTTAATTTGCAGTGTTCTGTCAGGCAACAACTGATTTTTTCTAATTAACGATAGTCAAGACTCTATTCTAAACTGAACCATCAATAGAAAGTCTTCAATTTCTTAACTCTATTCTAAACTGAACCATCAATAGAAAGTCTTCAATTTCTTAGTTATAGAAATAAAAGATTCAAGCAAAGATAGTCAAGACTCTATTCTAAACTGAACCATCAATAGAAAGGCTTCAATTTCTTAGTTATAGTTTTAAAAGATTCAAGCAAAGCAGGCAGTTGATTAGACTTATGTGCACCCTTTAGCCTCGTTTTTCTTCTTTCATGGGGTGGTATGTATGAACGTGACACTAGCCATATAGATAATGAGTTTCTAGAAATAATGGAAACGGAAAATTTAGTGTTTCAAATACAAAATTTGCTTTGAACTGATGGTAGCTTTGCTTTAGACCCATGCCTATAAGTATATATTTATCTTAATTCTCGGCTAGCTATCCATATCATTTAAATCTTCAAATCTTTTCACTGGTGAAGCAGAAAAATCTAAGAGCTTTATAAAAATGCCTGCCAGGTAATTGGAGACTTCTTTTTCCTATTTATTCATCTTGAAACATTCAATCATGTTCAAGTTATAGCAAACATTAGTCTTTAAATTTATCAAATGTATATTTTCTTCTTATCCTTTGCTTAATATTTCGTGTTTAGAAAATCAGTTTATGTAAACGTAGATTCCGCATCTAAGTCAGGCTTAATGATTTATGCATGATTCCTTACTAAAAAAGAGTAGATTTATGCATCAACGATTATGCATGAACCATATATGAAATATGTTTTAACATTTTCCCCATAAATTTTAGGAAAAAGATGGTAGATTTTATCAAAATTACATATAATCTGAAGCAGCCATTTATTTTCTCTTCTGATTTCACATTTCAGCTCAGGTGACACAGCATCGTTTCATGCAATTTTAGGCTTCCCAATATCGGCCTTCATTCCATTCCTCATACTCAAATACCACAAAGCCGATGTTTCTCCCTTTGATGACAACAGAATCATGATATTGGCCTTTCTCATTTCTACATTAGCATATGTTGCAGCCATGGTGACTGAATTCAAGCTCCGAATTCGCGACGTCGAATGCCCTAACATTATCAGCAATATCAGTCACTTATCCGCACCACTTGCCTCAATCTTCCTTGTAATGATCCCTTTCCCATACCTGGGATGGTTCTTGTTTGTGATATGGGTTGGTTTCTTTATCAAGCTGGCACTTGACTCTTACCAAGAGTTGTTCCAGCTGTTGGGCGACGCAGCTCGATGTGCATCTCAATTTCTTCTGAATAAAATATTACATTCGGATATCAAGAAAGAAGAGATCAAGGATCAGTCATCTGCTACAACTGTCTGAATGCAAGCATATTATCTATCTATAATTCGTGTAGTGTAATTAATAAATTATAATTTAGCAATGTATAGGTTCATTAAAAAAATTATATAATCATAATTTTAAATGGTGGATCCTTTCATAAATTTTTTTTTATAATAAATTATTTGCAGGATTGTATTAAAAAAAATTGTAGGTAAAATATTTTCCGTTTGAATAATTAATTGCTCATGGACGATTGGCATACAAATTCATTCTATTATCTTGCATTTATACCAAAATATAGTCAGATTTGTACTATAGGTTTTGTTCTTTCTTTTGAATAAGTAGCTTAAAGTTGCTTAGTTGACTAGTTGAATCTCAATTCTCAACCATCTCTGTCATCGTTTCTTAAAAAAAAAAAAAGAATGACAATGAGTACAAGTTAACATTTATCAATTTATAAAAAAATTGATGAAATAAATAAAAAAATTTGCAAATGTTCATCACAAGATTATGTTGTTTTTTTTTTTTTTATAATGCGATTAAAAATATTTTTAGATTTTATTTAAATCTAATATATTTTTTTAGCTATCTTAAAAATGTAGTTGGTCATATCAATTTAATATATTTAAGATTTTATTTTCGAAATGCTCTCCGCAACAATTGAACTTCCGTTGATCACGCGATTTAATGTGATAAACAATGTTTGCCAAAGAGGGTTTTCAATCTTGCTCTTTGAGAATAATCGGATGATGAACTAACCAATAAATCAAATAACCAAATGCTTAGACATGAACGGTACGTGAATTCGTTCTATTCTCTTGTGTATATGTCAAAATATAGACAGATTTGCACAAGTTTTATTATTCCTGTGCATATATATACATTAAGTTGCTAAGTTGACTAGTCTCTACCATCACTCTCATCATTTCTTTTCCGAAAACAAGAAAGGGCAACAAGTATTATAATGATTTTTGGGATCGTTAGATAAATTTAAAAAAAATAAAAAGTCATTATCAATTTTTTAATTAAATGTGATTAACCATCTATTAAAATTTATAATTTTTAATAAAATCTTCAAATTAATTAAAATTTTATTTAAAAAAATAATTTAAGTTTGAGAATATAATTACATATAAGGAATGATTAGTACCCATATAGTGTGCGTCAAAAGATGGTATTAATTAATCTTTGTATTATCCTTTAATTTTGATCAAAAAAGTATTTATTTTAATATTTAAAAATCAAATTTTTTGAGTCTTTTTTATTTATCATAACTATAATTTAATTTTTTATTTTTTTAATTTTCTTCACAAAAATTTCACTTTTTTTTAATTCTTATAAAAATTATTATTTTATTTTATTTTAAAAATAAATTAAACATGTTATTGAAAAATTCTTAAAATATTTTGATATGTTGATAATATTAGAAAAAAATTTTTGCTTAAGGATTTCTTTTTTTATTATGAATTGAATTTTATCATTTGTGAAACCTAAATTTTGTTTTTACTAACAAAATATTTATTTCAAGGTTTAGAATTTAAAAAACGCATGGATAAAAAAAATAAAATAACAAAAATAAAATAAAATAAATAAAAAGAGAAAAAAATAAAAATAAAAACTAAAAATAGCTAGTCAAATT